TATAAAAATAATAATGTGCATGTGACGCCATTTCATTTGTATAGATTATGGCTTTAAAAAAACAGACATTTTGAAGGTATGTATTCACATATTTTTCGGTTAACCATTTTATGGTACTATTTTTTTTTCTTAGGCTTGATTTTCCCCGACACTTTGTTTTAATATATTTGCATATATTTTGTGAATATATACCTTTGAAAAAAAAAAAAAAAAAAAAAAAAAAATACATTTTGTACCCGACATATCATTTAACTGGTTATAATAATGTTTATTCCAATAAAGGATTTGAAATATGTTCTGCATTTTGATTAGATTTAAATTTAGATTGGGATATTTGGTAATTTATTCTGGAATAAGAGGAATTCTAATTAGGGCAAAAGTATTTTTGTAAACATCTAAAGATGATCTATGACTCCATCATTGAGTGAGAGAGTTGCACACCAACAAAGCGACATGGAGGGACAAATCCCAATCTATCCAGCATGGAACCCAAGCCATGTTAAGTGGACACAAGGCACATGCATCACAGCCAAATGTGCCTATGATAGGATGGTAGGTTTTGATAAAAGCAGCACATAGGCTTGTAAGTAGGGAAAACCAGTCCACTCAATCAGGTCTCTGATTGAAAGTATCCATAAGAAAAAAAAAAAAAAAGAAAAGAAAAGGCAACCCTCTTGCACTTTGTCAAGATGCTCATGAACTGAGACACACACAGTATGTCATCTCCTAGGGGACATGCTGGCCAACTGGCAAAATTCAAGCAAATCTGTGATACCCAACAGGATATTTACCCTATCTTAATTTTTACCAAGAAAAAATGTATACATGTTAACACCTCCCATCAGTTAAAATTGAAAGCTACCCTGGTGTCACATCAGGTATGTGTGTGTGTGTCAATATATATATATATATATATATATATATATATATATATATATATATATATATATATATAGATAATATTAGTGGAAAATATACATACATATACAAAATATATAAATACCCATACATGTATATATTTTTAGAAAAAACAAAAGAAAATTCAAGAGGAAGAATCCAGATAGAACTCAATGTCCAGGACAGAGTAAGGATATAATAAAAGGCTTAAACACTAATATTCCATGGTCATAATTTATTCCATTGGAATCATAAATACGATCCAATTCATATGAATTGGACAAAAGTATAAAAATTAGAATCGTAAATACGATCCAATTCATAATAATTGGATCGTATTTACGATTCCAATGGAATAAATTATGACCATGGAATATTAGTGTTTAAGCCTTTTTATTATATGTGTGTGTGTGTGTGATGGAAATTTTAGGAGATTAGAATAATTATTTATAGTAATTCATCAAGTCTAGAAGAATCCTCAACAGAATACACTGGATGGCTGTTTCATCCTATTTGGGACATATCAGCAGTGTGCATCCACTACTGAGAATTGAACTAGGACCATTATGATACAACATGAAAGTCATACCACTGGATGAACAGGCCTTGGTGATGAAGAAGAAACTGACTAGACTTGATACTTGGATGAGTATCACTATTGAACTTAGTGAGTAGTGGTGCTATATCGAGTCTAGTCAGTTTCTTTGTCACCAAGGCCCATTGGTATGACATTCATGTTGTATCATAACGGTCTGGGTTTGATTCTCATTAGCAGATGTGCACTGCTGATGAGTCCCAAATAGGATGAAACAGCTGTCTAGTGCTTTCTGTTGAGGATTCTTCTAGACTTGATGAATTACTATCATATGCATTTACTTTTTGTATAAATGATTCATTGTAATATAAATTGAACTACACCACACATTTGATTTAAAAGAACTGATCAGACGTACAAATCTTTGGGACAAAAACTGAGACATTACTCTACTACATTTTGAACTATTTGGTTCATGCCACATTGACTGATAAATTCCTACAACAAAAAAAATTTCTCAAATTGCCATATTAGTAGAAAAAGCACTCTTAAATTTTCAAAAAAATTCAACCTCAGCGTTGTGACTGCATGTTCCAAAAGTTTGTATCCGTTATCAATAACACATTTAAAAAAAAAAATAAAAAAATTTCAATTCGTATTAAATTTTTTTTGTCTTCGATGCTACCTGAATTTTACCAAAAACAAAAATTTCTATGCCTGAATGTACAGTTGAAATTACTTGTGTATTTAAGACCTTATACAGCTTATAATTAAAAAAAAAAAAAAAAAAAAACAAACAAAAAAAAAAACAAGGATCATAACATTCATCGAGTCATTGGTAGGTTGATGCATCTTTAAAATTTTGTTAGTAAAGAGATTTCACCATTTTATATCATTAACTTGACTAATTTACTTTTTGTATGAAGGATTCATTGTAATATAAATTGAACTGCACCACAATTTATATTATATATATATATATATATATATCAAAAGCCTTTTTGCTTTTACAGACCTTTGCTCTAAAGCTCATTTCATGTACACATCTACAGATTAATCTATGATTCCACTAACACACACACATATATATATATATATATATATATATATATATATATATAGCTCATGTATGCTTCTTATAGTATGTCTAATACTAATAGGCTGGTTAATGAAATTTGAGAGATAAAAAAACAAAAATAATAATACAACACCGGGTGCTCCCCACAAAAAAAAAAAAACATGCAACAACAATTTTCCTGGAAAAGAGGGTCCCATTTCATTGTTTATTTCTTGTCTTGTTGATAAACGACAAAGGTGTCTGAAAATCTTTATTTTAAAATCGTTCCATCATGTTTCCATTTAGTCAAAATTAGTTTTTTTTATCCCAAATTTCATTAACCGGCCTATGAGATATATTTAGTATCTAGATTCACCTTTTTTTTAAAATGGCAAATACAAGAATTGAGATTTTTTGGCAATTCTACAACGTTATCTTAACTGAGATTCAAAGCTGCCTACACTATGCCAAAATAAAAACTGGCTTAAACATTTTGAGGTCAGTGATTCGTTTTTCAAAATAAATCCCATAAGTAGCCAACCATAAATTAAAATACTTAGTGGAGAACGTGACTAACAGAACTTAAAAAATTTCAGAACTAGAACTATCAAAAGATACACGTAGAGCATTAAATTAAAAATAAATAAATAAATACAGTAGTAGTGTGATTTTGTTTTTAATGTTTTGGCTTACATTTTCCTGAGAAGAAAAAGAATAAGATTTTGTTTAGACCCAACTATCATAAGTTATGATTTTATTTATTTTGAATTAATAAACTTTCCAATATTTCCTGGATATTAGATTTTTTTTATATATTTATAAAAATACATTGTGGCAGCTTTTATGACAATAATATTAAAAAAATAAGTTGTCATGAAAAAATGTATTTACATTGTAATGTAATGGTTCAAAAACATGGTTAAGATAAAATTTATATTTTTTCTATGAAAATATTGGTCTACATGTTAGGTTACCGTTATTTAGTCACAAAAAAAGTAGTCTTAAAAAAAAGGGAAAAAAAAGTTATTTTCATAGAGCAGAACAAATTATATAAGAAAAATTAAATAAAGATATTGACTTTTACTTCAACTGAATTTTAAAAGCAGTAAATCATTTGATTTGTACCAAAAATGAAATTTACTGTCAATAATTTTTTTTTTATTGAAATTATGGAGAATAATGACCCGGATTAATAAAACAAATTGCTATATATGTGTATGCATTGACATTGCATTCAGCATGAAATTTTTCAAGTCATTGTCCTTTGGGTGAATTTCCCAAATATCATTCAACATTAATTACAGCCAGTTTTATTATAATTAAAAAAAAAAAGTAAAAGAAAAAAATAGATGCTTTTCTGCGATATTTTAAAGTAAAAAAGTAAAATTTTGTTCAGTTTCTCAAAATCAGATTAATTAAACTTTAAATCAGCTAATTTTTCTAAAATAACGTTTCAGAAAAAAAAAAAGCATATTTTATTTTTGAAAGATTTTTTTTTTTAAATTAATGTTGTGCTGACAGATCTGTAAATATGGACGAATATAGTAATTAAAAAAAAAAAAAAGATTCTAATCAGAAATTCGTTTCGAAATACGTAAATATTTTGCTTATTAGAAATATTGGATTTTTAATCTATTAGCTTGGAATTAAAAACTTAAATTTTTTAAACTTTAGGCATCGCTTTTATTTTATTTAGGTACATTTAAATTACATTAACAAAAAAAAGTGTACAGTTTAGCAGCGTAAAAGATTCAATAAAAATATTAAATCAATGAAACAGTATTTTCAAATAAGACATGCGAAATAAAGTTGCATTTTTAAAATGTTAGAGAAAATTACAAAAATAAAAAAAATGTCGCCCATCTGATCTTCTAAATTTTAAATAAACATCAACTGTCGTTTGTACAAAAATTTGAGTCATTTTTCAGCATCCCATATTATAAATATGCTTCTTGCAATTAAATAAAATAATAATTAAAAGCATTTCACTTGTTTTAAGTTTTTAAGATTTTTCAAAAATGAAAACTTTCCATAAGAAATGACCATAAAAAACAGACCCCACCAAAATTGAAAATACATTTTCATACGAAAATCCATTGCTTAAATTACGAGTGTTTAATATTTTAATCCTATTTTAATTTTTGTTTATAAATGCTGTGTCCCTTCAGCACGAAACAAACACGGTTCTCCACAGCTTCTTAGCTTTTCTTATTTCTATCGCATGTATAAATGTTTGGAGAAATTACAATATATTTTGTGTTTTTCAGTCGATGTTCAATAAATTATTGTTGAATACTGACAATATTTCAAATTTTTACGTAGCTAAACTGTAGGATTTTTAAAAAAAAAAAAAAAAATTCTTATATTTTTGTCAAAGCGAATTGTTTTATCTTTTAGATGTTGATGACAGTAAAAAAATAGAAATACTAACTAACAATAATGAACTTATAGTTTCATGTTTATAATCACCATTCATCCTTTTTTATATGTGCGTGTGTTTCGGATACACAATTATTGTGTTTTTGGTCTGACGTCTTTGATCTTCCATGCCCCGATAGAATATCGAAGCCAAATAAGAACAAGGTCCCTGCCCATCTGTAACCAACTCCAGAAAGGCACCAGTTTGGAGCCTTCTATCTCTTGCCAATTTACGGCCACTTCTCCGATGGGCAGGTGGAAATACTGCGCTAAATACAGCAAGTCCACGTCAAAGGCCCAGCGCTCGACGTGTAAGTTAGAAAAAAGAAGCAATGCCGCCTCTCTGGTCATCAACTTGAATCCACACTGAGTATCTTTAACGCCCCTCACGCACAACAACCAGACAATAAAATGAAACCCATGCATCAAGATCGTCCGAAAGATACTCCGGGTGGCGATGGAGTCCTTCTCGAGATGCGCCCGGGAACCGCAAACGACAGCTGCATTTTGGGACTTGTTCTTCAGCAAAAGTTTTTCCACTTCTTGTTCCAGCTTGTCCAAATCGGAAAATTTGGTTGCACCGTCAGCATCAGCAAATAAAAGCCACTGACCACGCGCCGACATCATTCCTAACCGAATAGCACCACCTTTACCTCGGTTTTGCTCCAAAGTTAAAACACGCACCTTCTCGGTGCCGTATTTTTCTGAATACAACAAAGCCGTTTCAGTCGTCTTGTCCTTGCTACCATCGTCGACAATTATAATTTCGTATTTATAAGTGGGGCTGGATTTCTGTCTCTTATTTAGGTGGGTAATGGCTTCGTTTAGCATCTGAGGCATTCGTTCTTCCTCGTTGTAAGCCGGAACAATGACAGACAAGTCTATGCTGGGCACTTCGTCGCCCAGACTTGGGAATTTCATTTTGGTATTACTGTGTTTCGGGTCCGTGAATAACATTTCACTTTCATGGCGCAGCAGGTTAGGGTAGGACTCAGCTGTGAAATAAACACCAAGGATGAAAAAGAAAAGAGAAAGTAAACCAATAAATACCAGACCGGCGAACAACGTCGCCACGTCCATCATTGTTAACAATTTCACGTTGTGGGTTATTTTGATTTTTATTACGAAAAGAGCTCCGTACGTATGTAAGACAGAGTTATGTCCCTTGCATCATTCCCCCCCCCTCACAAATGTCATCGTAGAAATAAATATTTAAAATTAAAATATAAATTTCAAGATGATTTTATTGTTAAACAATTTTATTATAGAATGAGTATATTCACAAAAAAAAAAAAAAATTATTAAGAGATGTTTTATAAGCAGTGGGAGAGAAAAAATAATACAATTATTGCATAAATCATCAACATCAAAAACAATAATAACATTTTGGGTGGGGGGGTTCTTGTATGGGGTATTGTTAATTATTATTATCTTCTTTTTTTTTATTATTTCTCTTGCTTACGTTTAGTAATAATAACAGTCTTAACTTGTTTGGAGCATTGCCAATTATTATTAATTCTCGATTTGTATTTCTTTCATCATATTTTTATTACTTTTATCAGCAATACTCTTTAAAATCTGTGAATTTCTTAAATGAAGCACTGTTTATTATTAGTTTTTGATTAGTATTTCTTTCATCTTATTACAGGATGAGAATCAGAATAGTTACAATATAAAGCAACAGACATTAAGAAAGAAATATTAATAAAAAATACTAGTAAAAATTACTTATAATTAACAATGCATCATCTGTGATATTTGAATAATATTACTGCTGTTATATCTTTTGAATACAGCTGATGATCTGTCAGCTATGATACAAAGCAAAAGACTTAAGAGTAAATAAGTAGGAGTAGAAATTAAAACATAATGCCACTATATATTTAATAGTTATGCAATTTGATCTCCCTTTCCTTGTAATGAAATGTTCTAGGCATTCCCCACTTTCTAAAAAAAAAAAAAAAAAAAAGTTAAAACACATTTTGGTTTGTTTTGTTTACAGCATATCAACCTCAATGGGTTATTTAATACCGACATGATTTTTATGGCTGGTAATATTTGTTTTTTCAAAAATATATTGTTGGTAATATTTTTTTCAAAAATGTATACATTTTTTTTCACTGCTGGTATTAAACCTATTTTTATACTTTCATAGTGTTTTAACCCCCTTTTGGGGGCTTAACTATTTGCCCATAGCTGGGACCCTGACAGGTGCTACCACCCGGGCCAGGGTGGACCTGGGGATACCAGCAATTTAGAGATGGTTCCACGCTCCTTAAAACCTCCTGATCAAAGTCCTTGCTGTTGGACGTAGTTTATCATCTTACCCAGGATGGAAAAACGCATTTTAAATAATGCCTTCTTTGAAGTTAAATTTTATCATTATTTGAAAGATAATAGCCTAAAGTTGATCTGTAGAAAAAAAAAATTTTTTTACAAAAATGTAAAAACAAATTCACTCACCTTCCCCAGTTTGAATAGTCAATTTGATGGATGCCAACAATAGAGAAATTAATTTGATGGATTCCAACAATAGAGAAATTAATTTGATGGATTCCAAAAACAGAGAAATTAATTTGATGGATTCCAACAATAGAGAAATTAATTTGATGGATGCCAACAATAGAGAAATTAATTTGATGGATTCCAACAATAGAGAAATTAATTTGATGGATTCCAAAAACAGAGAAATTAATTTGATGGATGCCAACAATAGAGAAATTAATTTGATGGATTCCAAAAACAGAGAAAATAATTTGATGGATTCCAAAAACAGAGAAATTAATTTGATGGATTCTAAAAACAGAGAAAATAATTTGATGGATTCCAAAAACAGAGAAATTAATTTGATGGATTCTAAAAACAGAGAAAATAATTTGATGGATTCCAAAAACAGAGAAATTAATTTGATGGATTCTAAAAACAGAGAAAATAATTTGATGGATTCCAAAAACAGAGAAATTAATTTGATGGATTCCAACAATAGAGAAATTAATTTGATGGATTCCAAAAACAGAGAAATTAATTTGATGGATTCCAACAATAGAGAAATTAATTTGATGAATGCCAACAATAGAGAAATTAATTTGATGGATTCCAACAATAGAGAAATTAATTTGATGGATTCTAACAATAGAGAAATTAATTTGATGGATTCCGAAAACAGAGAAATTAATTTGATGGATTCCGAAAACAGAGAAATTAATTTGATGGATTTCAACAATAGAGAAATTAATTTGATGGATTCTAACAATAGAGAAATTAATTTGATGGATTCCGAAAACAGAGAAATTAATTGTCACCATGTTCAAAGATTAACTGATAGTTCTCTTATAACCCTGCTGCCTACTGTAAAAAAAAAAATCACACCACAAGTCCAATCAAATTAAAAAAAAACAAAACAACTACAATCAACAGACTGTTTTCTTTGAAGATGAAAAGACAAAGCTTGCAAATATTTTTAAACTTATGAAACATTGAATCAAAAATCTTGGACTTTTTAAACTATCAAAACTAATATAAAAAAGAAAGATCAGGAAAAAAGATTAAAAATACTTAGGTGATAATTTTTCTCATTATAATAATTCTTTTGACAATTTTATTAACTACTGATATCAAAAATGTTTCATTGCACTAAAGAGGTCTTTTTTTATTTTTTTCATTAAAAAATTATTAAAAGAAAAATGAACAAGAAAAATTGATTAAGAAGTTATTGAATTGATAATTCATTTCTGAATTTTCCTTATAGTAATCATCATGAAACACTGATCATGGGATATAATTCCAAATGTTACTTTTGAGTCTTGATTTTCGTTTTTAGTCTTCCGTAGAATAAAAAAATCAAACAGTTGTAAAATAAAAAATAAAAAAATTAAATTATTTAAAAAATGTTCACACTCGAAAATAGCATTAAATTTTTAAAAAAATTTTGTTCTTCAAACAAATCTTTATTTTTATAAAATTGTTCAGCAAACACTGAAAGATTTTTTAAAATCATGCGGTAAGACAAATATATATATATTTTCATAAGCAAATATACGCCTGAGACTCTCCTTGGAGGACATTACTAATTTTGTTTTGGGGTACCTCGAGGCGGTGTAATGGTTAGCGCAGCTTATCTTGCTAGAACAATTATGGCTGAGTTCGATCCTCACTAGGTGCCCCATACTTTCGACCTTGTGCCACATCTAAGCTATGCTTAGAAAATGACTAATTCTTGTTGTCGCAGAAGAAATGTAAAAAAAAACATGCATCCCAAATACCGCTTGTACTTGTTTGGACTCTTACCCCCAGGGCGTTTTACATTTTTTTGTCAAAGCGCTTGAGGAACAACTTTTATCCTTGGACCCTGCATAAAAATGAACGCTACTGCACGTTACGTGTGCGTGTGTGTTGATGCACATAAGGACTGCTGTCCAATGTCATTGGGCATTGGACAATGACAAGAAAAATAACTACTTTTTTACCATGACTTTCTAAAAATTAAAAATTTCTAAAATAATTTCATTCATTTCTAAATAAGTTCTGAAAGTTTCATTAAAATCTGATAATTATTTAATTTTTGCATGAATTTCCAAATAATGAGATTTTCAATTGAAAAAAGCGCTAAAAAACTAATGCTAAATATTACACGACCGCTGACGTAAAACTAAAATTTCTAGAAAGGATAAAAAATATTTTGGTCTTTCCTTTCCTCTTAATAATAACAAACTTTCTCACGATAAAACTTTGTTTTTAAGTTTGGGGCCATTTTTCATCATGTTTGGGGCGAATTATTTGAACTCTCAAAAAAAAAAAAATTTTGTTCAGTTTTCTCTTGGATTCTTTAAAATTTCAGACCATATTTTGGATTTGTTCACAGTCGATATTAATTTTTTTCTATTATTATTAATGATCTAGCTTTATAAAAATGTAAAAATTATGAACATCCCCTCAAAATTCACTAGTATGAATTAGCCATGAATTAATTAATTGTTAAGTAAAAAAAAAAAAGGTAGGCAAAAAAAGTACTTCTAAAAAAGTTAAAAAAAAAAAATACATTTAAAAGTAGAACTAAAGTTTATTTGTTAATGAATAAATGCTGAACATTTCAAGGAAATCTGATAATTCTCTAATTTTTGGTACATTTTTAAAAACGGGATGCCAGTTTCTTTTTTTATTTGTCGAACGAAAGTATACATGATTTTGGTTTGGAGCTATAGATATTTATTTGAGCACCCCCCCCCACACACACTGAGTCAGGTTGTGGCACAAGGTCAATTTTTAGCGTTGGCACCCGAGTGTTTTCACTCGGGCCGCTGTTCATAGCTTAAGCTTGTCTAAGCTATTCGTAGCCGTGATACCACCAGGTAAGTATATTAAATATATATTAAATATTAGCTATATTAAAAATAAAATATATACCCAACTAAGAGAATTTCTCATTAGAAAAGGAAAGAGATCAGGTTTCTAAGAGACAGCTTTCTTAATTTCTTTTGTTTTGTGGTTACTCTGGATATTTTCTTAATGATATAAGAAGGTGCAAAATTCTCTTTTTTACATGTGATAATTTAGTAAAAGAATTGTATAGATAAAAATCCTAGAATATTTGTGCAAAAAATATAAAGAATTTAATTGAAAAATGACCGTTTTTGATGTTAGGAGTCGTGTAAGATTTTTGTTTATTTTTACTTTTCATTTAAAAAACAGATTTTTTTTTCTTTTACAATAGAATTGAATGAAAATATAAAAAATTCGAGATTATTGACGCAGAAAATGTAACAAACAGGATAAAAATCACATCACTTAATTTATATAGTAGGGACCGCCATGCTGGAAAATGAGCATAAAAACGGCCTTAAACTTGAAAACAAAATTTTATTGTCAAAAAGGAAAGAGCAAAGTATTTTTTTAATTATCTAAAAAAAAAAAAAAATCCGTCTTTTTAGAACATTGTAACTTTTGATTAAAAAAAATCTTTCTTTCTCTTCGTCAGCGGAAGTACTAAATTAACATGGCAAATTTTAGTGAATTTTTTAAATGACATTAATTTTCAAAATCTTGCAAAAATAAAAATAATTGTCGGATTTTAGTGAAACTTT